GTGTGTAATAATTACAGGGATATACAGTCAGAAATGTAACATATTATACATAACTATGTTATTTTATCATCAACTACGAGCTCAGCCTCTTAACCTTAATATTTGCGTTGCCTTAGAATTTGTTATTTATAATTACATAGGAGCGGGTCTCGCAACCATGGAGGCAGACATCTTTGCGCTACGGCAGCGCAGAGCCAACAAACTAGCGATTGCGAGATCGCCAAAATGTCACAACGATGTAGAAAAAATAACGGGTATATTTATTATCTTAAGTCTACATGAAATCTATACCCTACACAGACTAATGAAATACTATCTGTAAAATTATCTATGTAAACAAACCTCATCACTTGAGAAGGTAGGGGATGCGGACGTCGTGGAAGACATTTTGTCCCGTAACGCTCGCCGTACTGTTGGGGGGGAGGAGCGGTGGGGGTGAGATGTTCATGTTGCTGCAGTATGACCGCTAGATGTCGCTAAAAGTTACACACTGTAGCTTTAAATGAAAAAAAATAATAATAATAAAAAAAAACATTTGTCTCAGTTACAGCATCAAACATTATTGAAAAAAATAAAAATCAAACAGGTTATCGCAGCAATCACATTTACGACTCCTTCGTAGCAATCTAAACTTTAGTTTTTATTTTTAACATAATGGGTTTTCCTGTATTTTGCAATTTTATTGCATGATTAATGCAAAGCCTACCAAAAGCACAGGCTTCATTGTTTCTTGTGCACATCCACATTCAACTACATCACATTATGAGCTGGAGGTGCCACAGTTTAGCAGTGAGGATAGGGTATCCAGACTTAAGATTTCTTATCAGTCATACCTCACGAAGCTGGATGGAGAAAGCAGAGGTAAAACCAAGGCAAAAATATCAAGACAAAACTTGAAAAGCGCCTCAGAGAAGAAAAAGAGAAATTGTGTAAATGCCTGGACCTCTGTGGTGCCAGTGATCATCAGAGCACTATGGACAGCAACCCTGAAACTGAGAAAGTGGGTTCAGCTGGTTTCAGGAATAACCTTTAAAATCCTCATCCAGACAAAAAAGCAAACTCTAGGAACATATGCAGTACGGCATAGAACCAGAAATCTTGCGGCCCAATGTAGGACAAGGGCAGAGCATATAAAGTACCTGTACAAAGCATTTGTCCACTTCATATTTTCTTCTTTCTTCTTCTGACTTTGTTTTATTTTTTTATCACATGTAAAATGTGTTACATCATCCAGCAAATTTTAATATAAGACAAAGATAACATGAGTTTTGCTTTGATCATTCACTGTCTGAAAGCTGCACAAAATGAAATTTCGTTTTGTATACACTCTGTATACAAAATGACAATAAAGGTTCTCTAAGTCTAAGAGTTGACTCAATACATTTAGAAAATTGCATTCTGAGATCCGTAATAACCAAAATATTTACAGGAAATGTTATTTCAGGTCTTAAACTTTAACCTGATTTCGAATAATAATAGAGAAGTTACAGGGCTGGGCTTGCATCATCGCTGGTGTCAAAGGGATAAAATGAGCCACGGTTGACATTTCCAGTGGGCTCTCATCCCTCAGTGATATTAGTAAAACATGTGTCATGCTAAGTTAAATTCAATTCAGTTTATTTATATAGCGTTAATTTACAACATGTCATCTCAATGCACTTTACAATTCAACCAGATCAACCAATCAAATTAATTTGAAGTTTTCTATCTGAGGAAAACCAGTTGACTGCATCAACTCGAAGGCAATCCTTACACCTAGCATGCGTGTAGCGAAAGTGGAGAAGAAAAACTCCCTTTTAACAGGAAGAAACCTCCAGCAGAACCAGGCTCAGTGTGAGCGGTCATCTGCAAAGGCTGACTGGTTGGTGTCTATCTGATACGGTATGTCATTATTTGGTGTATAGTCCTTATGTTAAAAGTGTGCCTACAGGTGCCCGTAATATCATCAAAGACCCCTCACACCCCCACCATGGACTGTTGTCCCTGCTGCCCTCTGGAAAGAGGTTCCGCAGCATCCGCTGCAGATCCACCAGGTTCTGCAACAGCTTCTTCCCCACTGCCATCAGACTGTTGAACCTTTGATCCACAAACCTAACTCTGCACCTATTGCACATTATCGGGCATCAATGCTGCTGAACGTTTAACTTTTAGCCCTTTAATTGTTCATCTCATTTCTATTCTCAATAACGCATTTTTTGCACAAATGCCTATATGCACTGAACCACTGCAACTTGCACACTGTCTCTTATCCTCTGCACTGTTCACACTTTGACCACTGCTGCACTTTTTGTATAACTCGTGCCATTTGAAATATCAATGCAACGTTCATAAGCTGTATGTAACGCAATTTCGTTCTGTATGCACTCTGTGCATACAAAATGACAAATAAAGAAGTCTAAGTCTAAGTCTAAGGTTCTTTCGGCCACAGTAATATATACGTGTTTCACTTTATCAAACTTTGCCGTCAAGAAGTGTAACTGTATTATCTGTTGTCTATTTTGGCTGTCCTGTATTTTCCATTTTCTCCTAACCTGTGACTTAGTGAAGATGATAACTTTTATCCTGACTGCCAGGGACAGAGCTACACTGCAAAAACGATCTAGGAATAAGTAAAAAATTTCTTAAATTAAGTGTATTCACCCTTAATTTGAGCAGGTAAATGAGATAGTTTGCCAATGGAATGAGCAATTTTACTCTTGAAATAAGATAATTAGATAAAATGCACTTGAAATAAGACAATGCAATTGTGTTTTCTTATTTTAAGTGTAAATTCTCTTGTTCCATTGGCAAAATGTCTCTTTTACCTCCTCAATTCAAGAACAAATGCACTTATTTTAATAAAAAATGACTTAGCTAGATTTAAATTTTTTGCAGTGTAGGGGTGGCCATGGCCACCCTTAGCCAATCATTGGCCACCCCTGTGGCCACCCCTACCATTTTTTTCTCTCAAGTCGAATACTCAAAACAATTTAATTTTATATTTATTAACAATTACTTGACAAATAAAAACACTGTGGTTGAATATGCACATCAATATACCAACATTAGAGATTATTAGTACAGAATTCATGCTCTTTCAGAACTAGATTTTGTGTTATATGCCATAAAGAGAAAATTATGTGTCTCTGCAAGTCATCGAAGAGTCTTCAGTGAAATCATAGATACTTTAAACCAGGGGTTCTTAACCTTTTCGACCTTGAGGCCCAATTTTTATAGTACAAAGTGGCCCGGGGACCATTATATATTGACACTGTACAGTTTGATTTGTATTCAATAATAAACCAAATCCACTTATTGCTTAACAAGCAAAAAAATTGTCTAATAAAATGACATGATGAAAGGGGATCATCACAAAAACTTTTATTAAACGTTTACATAATTCGTGGACCAAATCAAGCTATGATAAAAAAAAAAAAATTCAAGGATCAATTCAGGCTTTTTAATCATAATAAAAAAAGACCAATAGTAGGATTTTTACTTTAAATTAATAAAATAAATTATATATAAGTATAAATAAATCATGAAATTGATAAAAAGGGGGTGATAAAATAAATGCATTCAAATAATATAAATCTATAAATATAAATAAACTAAATGAAATTAAAGTGCAAATGAAACTATAGCCTTATAATCTGCAAAGCCATTGTAAAATTGCTTCAGCAGTCTCCATTTTTGCATGGCAGAACCAGAAGAATCTTTATATCTGTGACAAATGAACAATGACACAAATAATAACAATTAACAATAATACAACTCCCTTTTATCTTCACCTCTTAATGAGACACTTGGGCCTGCCTCTGAGACATAATCAGATCCAGTCTGGGTGGAATCGGAGAAAGGCTCACTCTCAGAGTAGCCTCCAGAGTTGCTCTGAGTCTGTTTCGGGCTTTGGTCTTAGTTGTGGCCACAATGGAGAATCCTGATTCACACAGGTTACGTAGTTGTGAATGGGAGAAGGAGTTGGAGCATTACCGCCACCGCATGGTCGAAAGCTGCACGCAGTCCCACGGCCCTTGCGGCCCACAGGTGCAAAACTGAAAGATTTTTGCGGCCCACAAGGGCCCAACTTTGGGCCGCGGCCTTATGGTTAAGAATCACTGCTTTAAACAACTATTTTAATAAAAACCTATTACATTATCAATTTATGTAGATATTAGTACTTGTAAATATCAATTTAATGCAGAAGGATATTGATAAAAGTAGGTAAGTAATGACGATGGAAAAGATGTCTGCTCCAGAACTCAAACCTGAAAGAATTTTATCCAATATACCTTTTATCTAGACAGATGTTTAAATATATGTATCTATTAGTTAGCAAAGGCTGTAGGAAACTATAGTTTGTCTTTATTTAGAAATATGGACGTTGTGCTTGTTCCTGTTGGAACTTGAGATTATTAGAGTATATAAAATAAAAAAATAAAAAAAAACTGTGTAGATTGATCCTGAGGTTCTGGTGCCTATCCACTTTTGCCCCCCCCCCTCAGTATACATTGGTTATTTCCTGGCCACCCTTATAAAATGTTTCTGGCTATGCCTCTGCCGACTGCTTCAACTAATCTGACTTTTGAGGTATATGTTAGAATCAATATATTGTATTATGGGTAGAAAAAAAAATCTATCTATAATTACATCAGAAACATACATGTTTATTATATTTAAAATCCTAGGTATAAATAAAGATATTCCTAACCAAATTTATTTATTTAAGCTCATTCATTCTTTTCTAACAAAACTGCTTTTAAGCTCCTCATATTAAAAAAGAGAACAAAAACTAAATGAAAAAAATTACAAATGGGTTTTTTTCGTCCTTCAAAGATTAATATTATTTGCAAACCTAGTTAAAATACGTTCAATCATTTTAAAGAGTTTAACAGTCGCGTGTTTCACGGTTATAATGTTACGTTACAATCGTTTAATTTGAAGGTGTCCTTTCTTTTCCTTTGCTTTGTCTGTTTTTTTTAAATGACACTAAATTATTCATGAGCCCCACTACCGTCGCAGGCGAACCCAGCGACAGGAGGCGCGGTCTTTCCTGTAGGCGAGAACGGAAGCGGAAATTCGGCCATCTCCTCGTACACTCTGGCTTCAACAGGGTCAGTACATACTTTATTTATGGATTTATTGTGCTGTGTTGCGAACAGTCCGCGTGGTGTTGTGTTTTGGGTAAAAATAGTCATCACTATCTTAAACCCGGACGTGTTTCTGCCATCTAAAACCCGTTCAGAGAAGCAGTTAAGCTGCCAAATGTATACTAGCATTCGAGGCTAGCTAGATAGCTAGCAGCCACTGATTTCTTCATCAGTCAAACTGACAGGTAACCTTAACCCTTGTAACTAGAGGGGAATAATTCAGTCTCATGAATGAGATTCCTATTGTTGTTCTATGCTACGTTGCCTACTTATTAGGACATTTTCTGTTCCGTCTTGTAAATTGTGTTTCACTTAAAAAGCTAGTGTATGGTAAGAAACTGCTAGTGTACAGTTTCGGTTAGCTTTGGGGAAAGAGTTGCTTGCTTCGGCTATCGTTAGGGTGGTTTCTTTAACTTTCTCCTATCAGTTGAAGACTCTTTAGGTGCAGTGATTGTCGTTTAATGCGAGTTTATGACCGTGGAGTACATGCTTGTTGCCAGGTCTTGCTAAAATGATCAGCTGTTTTACTGATAGCTAACATTTCGTTAGCCTCCCAACTTGATAGGTGTGACAGGAGCAAGTGCAGTTGAATGACTGGGCGACCAACGGTTGCTTCCCTTATCTCCGAGTAAGTTTAATGGGTGGGGGGGTGCTATGATAGGTGATATATTGGTGTTGAGGCAAGAACACTTTTTAGGCTTAACTTTAATGCGTGGCTTTTTAAATATTATAAATTAAATGTTTCTAGAAATATCGGTTTTTCTAGGCATTATTACATAATCATAACTAACCTCAATTTTGCAGTATTATTCAAAGGAAATATTTCTGTAATAGGGATGGATGTCCTCAAAATTAACAATTAGGGCAGTACAACATGCACAAGATTGAGCATCAATGTAGTGTCAGATAAGGTTGAAATCAAAACTTATGAGGAGTGATGAGGGGGGGAATATTCTTTATTAACCTACAGTGGGAACATTGAGCTATGCTAGTAGCATAGTTGCATGCAAAGAAAAGCTTGCAGAATTATACACAGACAGAAATATAAAAAGAGAAGATTAGAGACCATACAACAAGAGCGACTTTGCTTTGCAGCCTTCCAAAAAAATAAAATACCTGGGCTGTAGACAAGGCAATATTTAATATGTTGTTGTTTTTTTTTTTTTTTTGTTTATTTATTTATCAATTTTTTTTTTTTTTTACCTGTGGTTGAAAAGTATCTTAGTGACATTTGTTAATTGTTGAAGATCAGTAAAAACCACATTGGCACATCGCTGGTTTAAGTATTTCCCTTGCATTTAAGGTCACTGTGGAAGTAATGTATCGGATGATGCTTTGGATCAGAACTGAGGTGTTTTGTCAGTAGATAATGCAACTGTTACACTTTGTTAAGATGGAAATCCTGTATTTGAGTTATTACCATCTATTTGCATGGGCCACTAATAAATTTGACATCTATGTTTGCAGTGAACCTTAAGTCAACATTTACACTTGATTTTTATTGCAAATTATGTTGTCATAGCAACATTAAGTAATATTACCCCATATCTTATGCTTCCTATATATCATGCAGCCTTTTTAACATTGTACCAACTATATACAGCATTCTATAGAGTAAAGATCTGTTAATATTAGTTTTTAATGGCCAGTACCAGATGTTTAAAAGGAAAGAATAAAACAACAGATTAATTATTTTCTATTGTTAATTTTATTTCTTCTAAGCTTGTCCACATTATTTTCCTCATGCTGTATTTTACCTACGAGAAACTAGAAGTGGAATTCAAGATGGCGGCCCGGTGAAGACCAGATTGGCAAATTTTGAACATTTGAGTGAAGTTTCCCTGGGAAAATTGGGGCATACCAAAAGCTGTAAATCCCAAAAAGAGGGTCTACAATTTCTAATATTTTTAGTAAATGGTGCACATTGTACACAATGTATCTAAAACCCTTCCTGGCAGCAAATAACTTGTTATTATAAAATTTGAGTATCTACCAAATATCAACAGCTGCACAGAGGAAGGATTTTACTTTGATTAAAATTGATAAAATGCACATAGTCACCATGCTATTCATTTGTGATTTATTTAACTAATTTTAGTATAACTATCTTGATTTTTTAATTTGAAAACAGGGATAAACGATAGCTTACTTGTTCAGAAGAGAGTAAATGTTTTGTTTTGTTTTGTTTTTTCTTTTTCCTATTTTAGGAGACTAAAACACAGAGGCTGTGATCATTTAGTATATGTGGTGAGAGTGGTTAATTTCCTGTTTTTTGGTTCTCCATTTTCTATTTTAAATCAAATTATGTGCTTAGCATTAGTTTATTTTCAACTGTATTATCTGAAATGAAACGTCTTTTGCAAAGTAATCACTACGGAGTGCAAGTACTGTAGGAATTATTAGCGGAGTCTTAAAAAAATCTGTAGCTTTGAATTTGGAAATGTGCAGGGACCTTGCTGGGATGATGTTTTGACATGCAATTTGTGTTGAGAGTTTTCTGTAAAATATTGTAAATATTTTTCTGTCAACAAAACCTCAATATCAACTGACCAGGATACTGCTTCTCTTTAATACCACCAGAATCAAGAACTGCTTTTTACCAGAAGTGGAAGGGACTGCTTTCACTTTCCTTAGAGCATCTCCAGGCTATAGAAATATTAGCTATAGTAATATTTACCTTTGAAGGCAAACAAAACAAAGAACAGCGTTTTGAATGATTGAAAATACAGATGTAAGTTAGACTAGATAAACCAGATGCAGAAACCAGTTCTCACTATAAATCCAGTCAGAAAAATGAGTTGGTTTCCTCTTACTATGGATTGTTTTTTATAAAGAATTAGGCAAAGGTCATACTTTCAAATGTGTACCTTAGTTGAGTCCTCTGTGGATCAGTTAAGGACCTATAGATAACCTAACAATAACACAGCAGGCTACTATTCAAAGGGCTCCGTCATGCATTTGTAAGGTTCTGATGACCTGGTTTCAGAACTGATTTTGACGAGATTAGAAACTAGACTCCATCCTTTGAGACTTTAAAGCACTTATTGGAAACAAGCCTGTTTATGTTGCTCACTGAACATCTGTATAAGTAATGTACCACCTTATAAATCAACCAAATTTGACTTTTTTTTTTTTTTTTTTTGAGCTCCGTTTCTTTTGGAGTTAAGACTTTAATTTACACAAAAAGAAAAAAATTGATTTAGAGGGTCTGCTGTTAATGCAGCATATTGAGGCAGAGCATGGCTGTTTTTTATTCTTGTATTTACCTGTATCTCTATTGAAAACCCATTCATTTATGTTGTAATTTCCTGTCTGAATAGAGTTAGTAGATGTGAAATAAAGGGGTGTGTATGCTCTGGTTGAGAGCTCAGTGCTTAAGTGTAGTTGATGTAATCTGATAGTTACTGAAGGTGTCCGGGACAGTGCTGACGTCTGACTGGGACACAAAGGACATGTTATGTCTCTTATTATGGATTAAAATGCGTATATTAACTTTGTTATAGAGCTTCAAGAGTCTCTAAACTGATTTTACAGCAATGTTTTTATGTCTAGTTATGTAGGGTGCTCTTAAATTTTGATTTATTTGATTTCCTACTTTGTATGCAGCAAGCAGAATTTAAGACTAAACCATGTATCTGATAGGATATTTCTTACTCCAAAAGCCAAACTTACAAACCTATTTAACTACAGATAATATGAAGGTTTTTTTGAGAAAGTAGTAGGTCTAAACATCCTCTTGCTATCTGTTAGTGAGATTTTGTAGAGCTTAGTCTTCATGTGTTTTGGTTCATTTGTGTCAGAGTGCAGCAAAATAACAAGGTTTTCCTGGAATATGAAGGAAGAGAAAGAACAGCTTTGTACTTTGGTTACCTGGCAATGCTTGCCTGCATAATTATAAGACGATGTTCATTAAATTACTAGATTGAAGAGGGTAGAGGGAGCAGCTGAAGACACTATTTGTTTTATCCTTACACAGCGTTACTAAAAACATTCCTGAAGATATTCTGAATATATTGCAAGGAAAATTAAGACTAAAAGAGAGACTTAAGAAGGTCTTTTCATTTATTGTAGTTTTCCCACTGTTCTTTCTCTCCCTGTTTGATGAGAATCTGCAGATAGTGCCAATGCAAGGATGCACCTGGTCAGCACCAATTGTTCAGCTTTTCTTGAAAGCAATATTGTATAAACAATGTTCAGGAGTTGGTGTGTGATGGGCCATTATGCTGCAGATATAACTCATTTTGTCTCATTAAACCATCAGCAGGATAAAAGCTGTGATTATTATGATCAATATAAAAGTTTTCACCCGTTTGGCAAATAGTAAAAGAACATTATTTGAACCACTTGGAAATTTCTCTCCTTTTTATCAAATTCCAACCAAATCTCTTTTGTAACAAGGTAACACAAAGCACTGCAGCGTTTCCGCGGGTCATTAAAAGTCATTAGATTATAATTTTTTTAATTAAGGCCTTAATTGGCATTAAAAATCATTAAATGTGATTATTGTGACATTAAAAATGCTTTATTAAAAAAAAACATTTATAAAAACAAATTCGTAAGATATATCAGATATAAGTGGTTCAGTATGTTTGCGTGGAACTGCTTCCGGCTGACCGTAAAGTTGTATATTTGGAAAAGAAGCTCAAGGCGGAGAAAAAGCTAGAGAATAGGAAAATGCAAATTTCTACAAAGTGGCTGGGAAAAGAGGAATTCAGGACATGGTTGCAGCCTGTATACTGTAAAGATGAGGAAGGATTGTGCCGTGTTTATATATATATCTATATAGATATATATCTATATAGATATATATATATATATATCTATATAGATATATATATATATATATATCTATATATATATATATACACTATATTGCCAAAAGTATTTGCTCACCTGCCTTGACTCACATATGAGCTTAAGTGACATCCCGTTCCTAATCCATAGGGTTCAATATGACGTCGGTC